GAAAAGTACCAGGTATTGATGGAAAAAACCTCGGGTTGGGACTCGATCGGGTTCGAGCCCACAAAAACGTGGATCTGCAGCTCGCTACCTATGAGAACCCTGTTTTTTTTGCTTAAGCTTTGCTTTTATTACAGATATGAACATTTATATAATTAGACCGCTATTTTTAGAGAGCTTAGGCTATTTTTTGACCCTTGTTTGGCCAATATCTTCCTCAAACATCATCGTACAGGGTTGAAAATTTTACCATAGCCTCCCCAGCATATCCTGAAAATTTCATGTCATTCGAATGTTCCTAATCTGAGATCCATTTTTGAAGGATAGCCTTAATTGTTGATTAGTATCAAATTATTTCGTCGAAGTTTGAAAGTAAAGAGAACAATTCGCGAACTCAATTGAGATAGTTTCTGATTGTAGCGTTCTAGCTTCAATCGTCATGATAAAAGTTCATTTTGACAAGCATTTCGAAACATACAAGACAATAGTATGATTTATGAATGTATAGAAAAGGATAATTTCGTGTAAAATCGGTTAGAATCAGAAAAAATAGTTGATCAAGGAGAATCACTAGAAACCAATAATACAATTCTCATAAAGTTTTATATACCGAAACACATGGTTTTAAAGAATATCTGTCGAGTATGAAAATCATTCTAGACTTTCATCAATAAGTAGCTGTTTGAGCACTAGAAATTATCGTTCAAAGATACTTCACGAATTAATAAATTGCTTTTACAATGAACATAATGAGGTAAAACTCATCTCAAAAGCAATTAATTACTTGACAAGTTTCCTCATTAGATCTGATCGACTTCAGCAGAACAGATAATTTTTTTCTGCTAGATATAATGGAATTACTTAGTCAAAAAACAAAAAGTTTTTGTTTCGTATTACCATAATTCGTCGATCACTATACTGTTCAGCCATATGCATTGTACGTTGTTCATCAGCCAAATCATAAATATCTATAAAATTTAATCAATATATATATAAAAAAAAGATTTTAAAACTCAAAAAGAAAAAGATTCAAACATGATTTCCATTCTTCAAATGCCCATCGCATTAAAACTCTTTCTTGTAATTGTGCTAAAC